TCGAATTACTAAATATTGAAAGAATTTTTTAAAAAATATTATTTAAATCAATAGCGTTGTTTCATCAAATAACATGATTTCCTTGAACAAAATAAAAATTTTTATTTTTATCATTTTAAAAAATGATATTTCGTTTAAAAATATAATATTTTAATGAAACAAAAAAACCACAAAATTAAACAAGTACGAATATTAAATCTAAAGAAAGTGTTTTCTCCGAAAAACTGTATAAGAAGTATTAGAAATAAGACCAATTCTATTATTAATGACTGCCACTAACAAGTATTATTCTAAGTACCATTCTATAAGTACTATTCATGTAAAACATTACTGAATTTGAAATACAAATAACAAAAATAACTAGTAAATAAGTAAAAAATATTATATTATATTCGTAGTATTTTTTAAATATTGCTGTGATATTTCCAAAATAATATTGCAAATTAATGTCACTGCAATGTCTTTGCAACATTGCATAGCAATATGCAATCTTGCAACGTTGTAACAGCAATGTTGCTGAAAGCTTTCGTGCTGTGGGCATTACTGAGATTCGAACCTAAGACCTCTGGTTTTTGAGTTGTTCACCTTACCTAATGCACCACTGTCACTTTGACTGAGAGACGTTTCGTATTGTATACATATAGCATATCCATGTACGAAAACATCATTTATTTAAAAGAAGAGAATAAATCCCTTTAAATGTAAAAAGTATGTAAAAAGTATATTTAGAAAAATATTTACTTGTTTTAAAAGTAAATAAAATACAAATAAATTATTTTGTACATTTAAATAAATTGTTTTCTGATAATAGAAGAAACATTAATTTGAAACACAAGAAAGATATTTTTAATATTAGAAAATAATTTATTTAGATTTAGAAAATAATTTATTTGTATTTTATTTACTTTTAAAACAAACAAATATTTATTGAAACATTATTTTTACATTTAAAAAAACTAATTTTCTTCTTGCAAAGAAGTCGTTTGCTTAATCTTATATATAAATATTTTAAATCAAAGAAATCATTTTTTATCTAGAAATTCATAATTTTACAGTTTATTTTAAATATAAGCTTTTACAACTTACTTTAAATATAAGCTTTTACAGCTTATTTTAAATTTTAAAAAATATTACTTTATATTTATTACTTTATATTTTCTAAAATCTAACAAATATTTTTGAAGTTATGAAATTATACTTAACAAAATATATTTCTTTAATTTAAAGAATTTTTTTTAGTGTACATTACTAATTTAAATTTCGATTCTCTTATTTCTTCATTAATTTAATAATTATGAATAATTATATTTATTTTTTCATGTGTAATATTTATTGAAATATTTATAAAATATTACTACTAATATTTATTTTATGTTTACTATAGATATTAGTAAACATTTTTAGTATAAATATTTAGTCAACATTTTAATAATACTTTGAATAAAGATTTTGATACTTTTCCCTTTTTACGTATATAAAAAAATATTTATAAAATATTTATATAATATTAAAAAAAATAATTCGAAATAAATATTCATAAATATTTATCATTAATATTGTGTGCTGTCTAGGTTAATACTTTAAATCTTGACAGTACTTTGCGTAATTATTTTATCACTTAACAAAGTATTACCTAGTAGTATTTAAATATTGACAATGCTCTGCGTAAGTATTTTATCACTGAACGAAGTGTTACATATCAATATTTAAGTATTGAAACCAATCATATTAATCGTAATATTTATAACACTAAACACTGAAATACTTGAGTACTAAGAGCTGTATTTGAATCACGGAATATTACTAAACACTGTACTTTTAATATTGAAAGTAAATAATTAATCAATAATTCTCAGTATGATATTTCTGTAAGGGCCATCAAAATGCTATTGACGCAAAGACAAGTCATCAGTTCTTGTCATGTTGCCATCATTCCGGACAGCACACGACGTCCAATATACGTCCAATTTTGGTTTTTATTTAGTCTCAACATTCATGGACTTAATATGGACGTTTTAATTACGTACATTAGTGGATGTACAAAATACGTTGACTTTTGTTTTAAAGACATATTTATCCCTTATAGAAATATCATACTAAGAATCATTGATAATTACTTATTTTCAATATTAAAAATACTGGATAATAAGTAATTATCAATGATTCTTAGTATGATATTTCTATAAGGGTTTAAAACATTTCTATTCTCTTTTTTTAAATAAATCATTTGTTTTTGTACATGAATATCCCAGTAAGCAAGAAACATTAAATTAAATTTCTACAACGTTGATATTATATATATTTTTGTAATGTTTCTTTATAATATTGTATAAAAGTTTTTAAAACGTTGCTTAATAATATTACATTTCAAACATTAAAGAAATATTGTATAAACATTTCAAAACATATTTTTTTAATGTTGTTGATAAATAAGCAAGAAACATTAAATTAACATGTTTAAAACGTTGATCCCAGGTAGCACATGTTCATATATATATGTAATGTTTCATAATGGGATAGCACTAATAAGAAACGTTTAGACAGAAACGTTTATGAAATCATAATTTAACAAGTGTGTTTAATGTTTCTACAGTCAAGAGTTTTATTTTTTCGATAAACTTTATCGAAGTATTTGTAACCAAGGTAAACATATTTTACATAAATATTTTATGCATGTATCTCTAACTTCTCTTTTATTATATAAAATATTATAACTATAAATAGTTTATTTTTGTAGTTGTCCTAAATAATATTATAAGAAAATTATAATTAGTGCTTTGGCTGCATATGAGGATAATAAAAAACAGTATCAATTGAGGATAATAAAAAACACTTAGTATCAATTGAGGAAATAACGCAGCAACTAAGATAGTAGACTTAAGAACCTGAAGATGTCTGAGGTCTCTCGAGTTCGCGTCCGACCAGTACTGAGTAAATTTTCAGATGCGAAAATAGTGAGAAATCAAATAAAAGAGCTAAATTTCAGTTAAAATCAACATAAGTTCATTAGTTACAATCGTTTCCGCAAGATATGTTTTTTTTTTTACATTACAATTCACGTCCTTATCACGGCTGCCTGAGCTGTAAAAAAACATTTCTGAAACGTGTTTATGGGATGTGACCCACACAGCAAGAATGTCCTAAATACATCATAGGGATATCTTGACGATATCACATATTCCAAATATATTTTTAGGATATCCCTATGATATATTTGGACACCTCTGCTGTGTGGGGAATTGACGTTACGGAAACATTTATTTAACATTATTCGAGGAACGTTATCACAGAATGTTCTAAAAACATTAGCATAACATTAATTACAACGATATGACGTACGTGAATTCAACATTGTCGAAACCTTAAAATCGGTGTCAAAGTTTGTTCATTATAATGCTGTGTACAATGTTAAATATGACATACTTGCAAACGTTACATGTTACTGAATATCATTATAATAACGTTGTAGTAATGATATTTTGCTTACTGGGATAACATATGTATACAATATGTATACATATGTATACAATACAAAGCGTCAGTCACAGGATAGTGGCGCAGTAGGTAAGGTGAATGACTCAAGAACCAAAGGTTTTCAGGTTCGAATCTCGGCAATGATAAACAAATTTTCAAAGTAAAATTTAACTTGAGTTAAGTAACGTGTGAAACAATATAAAGTGAGAACAAATATATTTTAAAAATTTAAGAAAAGAGAAAAAAGTATATATTTTAATAAATATTTTTATAATATTTATGATAAATATTTATGACTTATTGAAGCTAAGATCATAAAAATATTTATAAAATATTTTAGTAAATATTTATAAAATATTCAAATAAATCTTATAAATATTTTGTAAATATTTTATAAATATTTTGTGCTGTCTCATTATTTTTAACGTTTTTAAAAATGCTTTTTCAAATGTCTTTTACATATTCTTTTGGTAATTAGGAACATTCAATATTCAAAATTACAAACATTCTATTTTTGTTCTAAAAACGTCCAGTTTTAGTCCGGTGGGTTCTTAATTTGGAACATCCATAAAAGTACCCAATGAAAAATTTTTCATATATAATTATATAAAATTATATAAAAATATATATAATTATACATAATTATATATTATTATGTATCAAATTTGTCCATTCATGTTCATACATTCTACTTATATATGTAATTATACATAATTATGTATAATAATATATATAAATTCATATATAATTTTACATAATTACGCATAGATTTATATGTAATTATATATATTGTTATACATAATTGTGTATAATTATATATAATTTTATATGATTATATATAATTATACATAATTATGTATGGACAAATTTCATACATAATTTTGCATGAAAAATTTTTCATTGAGTAACAACGGATATTTTTAAAATGTCCTAAAAACGTTTGTGAAATGGACGTTTTAAATACATCCACAACGTCAAGTACGTTTTTAATACGTTTTTAAAACGTCTTTATGCTGTCTGGGATGTTGTTTGCAACCTTCCGTACTATTGTTGCTGAATTTGGTAGCACGATGATGACAACCAAATATCAACTATTCAGCAAAACATGCAGTGCATTCGTTTGCTTGATATGCTAAATCACGCTGGTTATACGGCCAGAAAAGTGAACTCAACATGCAGAAAGAGACCATAGACATAATATACATAGACTTCGCATCAGTCAGAAAAGAGAAGCCAATATGTACAGCCTTTCTGATTTTCTGTCTCTTTCTGCACAGACAAAGTGTGCAATAAGATTTAAATAAGACGTTTACTTGCCAGTCTAAGGGTGTGTTACGCTCTATAATATTATGGAAACGAGAAATGTGGATACACGCGCGATAAAAAAGTGACAAAATAGGAAGAAAATTATAGCCCTCTAATTCTATTCTCGCTCTTTTTCTAGATGTTGGCTTCACTGATTAGACGATAGAACATAGGACATTCGGAGTCTATGTATACTATGTCCATGTGTCGCGTACGTATACTAGATTTTCGGTATTGTCAGTGAATTTCGGAACGTAGCTCTAGAAAGAATAGGCAAAGGGAGCTACACACGTGAAGATAGTCGTTGATCGTCATCGTCCTCACGTGTTAGTATTTATTCAATGAATCAGTTCTGGTAGGTTAAATTTGCAAAATATCTTACGAGTTTTGTAAAATGGGTAAGACAACGCAAAAGTTATCGAACAAGAATGAAGTTCTAAAACTGAAACGAAGATATCGCAGGAAAGATCTCGACGAAATACACTCGAGGATCTCAAAGACTAAGAGGAAGTCGGTAAGTTTCGCGGTTCACCTATTTTTACTCAACTCCGCATTATTTTCACTTCATAATTAGAGTAACTATCTTTAATTTATTTCGGATGATTTTTTGGCTGGATATATGGAGCGATAGATTTCAAAGAAGTGCTTCAACACATATGGATTATCCCGCGTCGCGAACTTGTACACGTAGTAGATTCGCCATTAGGTATATTTATTTATGTAGTTGTCGGTATGTTCGCTATGTGAGTGTGTCTGCCCGTGTTATTATTATCATCGTCATCGGAATATAATCATAGATAAAGCTAAAAATAGTCGTGCAGATTATGATAATCTCAAATGACGTTTATAAATTCTACGAACATTGTATCTATACGAATGCACTCATGCGATTAGGTTAGGGTAAGCAACGCATAAAACACGTTTGCACTGTGCTTGAACTGATGTACAATGATGCAATAAGTTCGAGTGAGACAAATTTTATTTCACTCTAATTTATTACATCAGTTCAGGCTATTCAACTAAAAAGAACAGTGGTAGGACTACGTTAAAATAATAGCAAAGAAATAGAAAGAAGTTTTCTGTCTATACAATCACGTGTGACAATTTGACGAATCGTTGCATGACAAATCGTTGCATATGATTGTATAGACAGGAAATTTTTTTCCATTTCTTTGTCTATTTTTTACATAGTTCTACCACAGACCTTATATCTTATGTAAAATGATATGATACTTAACACTTGATAATAAAACACTTGGAGAATAAAGGAAACAAAATTATAACAGAATTCAAACAGTCCTATAGCTTTAATTCATACTTCTTATTATCTTATCTATATATCTTTTTATTTATAAATTATTTGTAACATGATAGCATCTTTGTGTAAAACTCTTGTAAAATACCCTTATTATTTATTACAGGATAATGAGACAGAAAAGTGCAATAAAGATTGGAGCAGCAAGCAGAAGTTGTCAAAAAATTCTAAAAAGTATACAAGACCAGTGAGTAATATTTAGTAATTTTAATATAACAATATGTATTGAGTATATATTATATATTAATATAAAAAATATATATTGATATATTGATACAAAGAACACTTATTTGATATGGCTAAATATTATGTTTTTATACAATAGATTTGTACATGTAAAGGGATGTAATTCATATATCTTTTTATTTATGAATTATTTGTAACACAATGACATCTTTGCATAAAACCTTTGTAACATGTTGTTATTGTAGGATAATGAGGAAGAAAAGTGCAGTGAAAATAGACGCAGCAAACAGAAGTCATTAAAAAATTACAAGTATATAAAACCAGTACGTAATATTATTTAGTAATTTTAATATAGTAATCTGTATTGAATATATATGTTGATTATTATGAATATATATGTGATCTTATTTTATGTGATTATTTGCAGTTACATGCAGGCATATTCAGAAACGGCACAAAGGGTAAAAATGTCAAGAAAGGTACATTATCAATACTAGTTTTTAAAACAAGAAATAAAATTAAAATAATGAAAAGATATATCTTATGATTATAATGTTTTAACAGGAGTATTACACGAGAATGTGGTCTCTAAAGCCAGATTAGCGGGAGATATGTTGAAACTTTTTGATGGAGAATCAGAAACAATGTAAATATATTATTAATTTATATTTTTTCTATAATCTATAGTTTAAAGAGCTTATAAAAGTTTGCCAAATTTTAAATGATTCTAATAATTTAAATGATGTCGTTAGGCAATTAAGTAATTATTTGGAGAAAAATGATAAATACCAGTAACAGACTCTTGACAATAAATTGAAAAAATTTGACAAATTTTTATAAGCCATTAATATAAGTGTAAAAGATCAAATTTATTTTTATACATATGATATATTTTACTTTGCAGATGTATATCAAAAAGTGCACCAGAAAATGAATCTACTAATCAGTTGTCTAATAAGGAGTTAACAAAAAATTATTCAAGAAGGACGCAACATACTCTAAAAGAAAGTCCTGTGTTAGGAAAGAACCAAAGGTTTGTTCAATAGCTTAAATAATGACTATGTTTATATGACAATATGATACCAAGTTGATAATTCTCAATGCTATAATTTCATGTATTGGTAAACATGTAACATATGTCATTGTAACATAACATTTTATATTACTTAGTAAGCTGGTGTTGGGTTGCTATATAATCGTACTTTATATTTGTTAATTGCCATATTATTGTCATATAAAGTTGACACTCTAATCTTGTAATTTATACACCCATTACTTACCTGGGTAACATGCAAGTTTTCATATGAGGTCAATTATCTGTTTGACAATTTTGGTCATTTTTTGGTTTAAAAACCGTATACAGGTTTAAAATATTTAAGATTATTTAAAACATTTTTAACAAATTTTATAAAAATCGGAAATAAGACCTTTTTTTCGAGACGTAAGACGGGAAATAAGACCTTTTTTTCGAGACAAAATCTAATATTTTTTAGAAATCTAAATGCACAGTCATAAAGAGCATTAAATAACAAAATTTTTGTCTAAAACATTGTTTCATATACTTTATTTATGGCTTTGAAGATATTTGTTTATATAATTAGTTGCGTCAGATTCTTTTTAAAATGTTCAATATTTATAAGAGTAGAAAAAGATGCATAAACACATACATATATCTCGTTTTTAGTTGTATTATACAGAAACACACAAAAAGTATAAGAATCAGTGAAAGACATACATACACGGTGTGTATATATATGTATGTGTGTGTGTATTTCCTTGCATTTATAAGAACATTTATAATAGAAATAATATAATATTATTACGATAATATATATCAAATTTGTTAAAAAGCAAATTAATCAATCATAGTTATTTTTCAGAATATTCCTTAAACTAGTCTAAATTGTAGAGATCAATATGTTGTGATTCTTTTACGTTTCACCTTGCTTTCGACTATTCCAGGAAATCAGGCTGCCGTACACTAAATATAAATGTGAAAATATGACTAAATACAGCCAGTCTTTTCATTAAATAATTTCACTCTCTATATAGTTACTATGGCTCCTATGCGAATTCAGCAGATTTTGATATCATAATTTTTTATAAAATATCTTTATAACTTCTTCACTAATATATATTATTATAAAACGCCATTATAAAGTTCCCTGTTAAATGATTTCTTACTATAGCAAATATGTTGTTATAATAACTTTCTTTTATAACTTGCATTAAGAATTGCTGAATAGCTTATCACTGCTACCAGTAGCTTGTTTTTGTAAATAGAAATTCTATTAAATAAATTATCTTTTTTTGAACACAAATATAAAATATTAAAATAGATAGTTTTTTTTTTTTTAAGACAGTGTAGTTAATAATACTCAAGTTATATACACAGTTGTTTTAATATTATGAATATGTCCATTTCTAATCTAATTAGTCGTTTTTGTCTATTCTAACTTATTTTTGTTTATTGTAGTCTATTTCTGTCTATTGTTTTCCTTCAGTAAACTCATTTATAAACAGTTATATAAAATATGAGTCTTTGATATTCATGTAAACATAGTCAACATTTAACAAATACATGAGGTTAATATTACAATAGTTTATATTTTAAAATTACAAAACTTGCTTGAATCTTTAATATGCAACGTAAAAAATAATAGATACTCGTTACTTTTAAATAACTATATAATGCGTGTTTCACTAGTATTCTCAAATTAACATTGTGCAACAACCATCTCAACTCACATGTTTTGTTTAGCAAGTGGTTAAAAAATAGATTAAGATGTTAAATCTTTTTTCTTATAGCAGAAAAAAATCAATGAGTTTGCTGCTGAATGCGTGTTCAGCGTAATGATTACTTACTAATACAAGGCTACAAACCTGGAAAATTAGGAAAATCGCGAAAAGTCATGGAATTTAAATTTGTCATGGTAAAGCGGGATATATCAGGGAAAAATATAAAATAATTTGGAATTTTGGCCTTTCCTTACAATTCTTTGAAATTAAGGTAACTCTCTCTGGATTATGAAAGAAGAATACAGAATCTCTAGACACTTACTAAATCTAAGGTTATTAGGGATTTTATTAAAGTAAGTTTTTTTTAACCTTCTTGGAATCACCCTATCTTTTTTGACATATAGACTCACCTACGGTTTGTGAGACCGATTTTTATATTATTAAAATATAATGTTAAAAGTTCGTTTTTTTACATGTTCCTCGATTTCTTGTTATAGTTTAGGATATCTTTTAATGAAAAGGCATATCTTTTAATAAAAAAGGATATCTTTTAATGAAAAAAGCAGAATAAATAATAAAGAAAGTCAGTCTTTATTTTTCATAATATTTTTGGAAATTGTCTCAGAAAATATCGAGGTTAACGTTATACCTCTATGGAAAAAAAATATAAACGTAACTTCCTCATTTTAATTTTGAAAAGTCGATGACATATACAAAATGTAAGAAATATAATAACATAAAGTAAGAATTACTCATTATGAAATGCTTATACATAGCAGTTCTAGCTTATTATAAAATATCTATAAAAATAAGCTATTATAGCGTATTTTTATAGATAAATTTTTGACAAGTTTGACACAAATACCTCATAAAATATTAAGATAAGAATCACATCAATAGGAAATAAATAAAAACATAACTTGTTTGTCTTAAACTTTGAAAAGTCAGTAATATGTAAAATATATGGAGTATAATAATATAAAATAAAAACTATTTATTATGAAATGCTTATATAGCAATTTTGGCTTATAATACCATATTCTACATAAATTTTCGACAAGTTTAATAAAAATACCTCATAAAATATTGAGGTAAGAAATTATCGTGTTTATGATAAAAGATACATAAAGACTCACCTCGGTCTCACGGACCGATCGACGCTGAGATCTGTTATACGTCCAAGTACGGCGCATGCGTTTGCAGTACTGACGTGAAGCGGATGATAGATTAGGAAGATACCAAATGCTTGAGCACCATAACTTATACGGTTTCGGAGAAACTACCGGTTTTATGTTTTGTCGGTCTGTGAGACCGTAAGATGAGTTCAGAAAAGTTAATTTTAACGTTTATAGGCAGAGTATAGGAATTAAAATGTTATTTAAAACATAAATAAGATTTTCTTAGTTTATATTGAATATGCATACATCTATGCTAATCTAAGCTAATCTAAGTATCATGATGTTAACAAAATAATTAAAATTTATATTTTACTCATCGTTTTTTCATTCAATCATTCTTTTTTGTCTCATAACTACATTCTTTTTTCCCATATTCATATAATTTTTGTTAACTCGAATGTGCATTTTCAGGAATATATGTTAGGAATATTATGTTATTAAACTAAAAATTTCTTTTAATAATATAAGCTACTTTTTCTGTAATTCCTGTCCCTAAACGTTAAAATTGAAGATTATATGTTGGTCATGGAAAATTCTCTATTGTCATCTGGAAAACATGAAAAAGTCAGAGAATTTCAAAATTGATTTTCTTTAGCAACCCTGTAATACTAAGTCTGATCAGCATCTGTTATGTTTCATGTTATATAATTTATAATATCTACATTAATATAATGTAATAGTTAATAAATTAATGGAATTTCTATTTACAAAAACAAGCTTGATTAACAGTAATAAGCTATTCAACGATTCTTAATGTAAGTTATAAAAGAAAGTTATTATAACAACATATTTGCTACAGTAAAAAATCATTTAATAGGAAACTTTATAGTGGCATCTTATAATAATATATATTAGTGAAGAAGTTATAAAAATATTTTATAAAAACTAAATATTTTACATAATGTTGTAGAAAAAATCGAACGAAATGTTTGAAAACTGTTTCGGAGACGAATAAGGAGGCAGAAATTGTATTTGAACCAATTGATATTCCTGAGTAAGTAGCACTATTATTTGTATAATTATAATAAAGATTACATAAAAAAAATTAATACTTGTAAAAAAATTATTAAAAAATTATTTAAAAAATTATAACTTGTGAAAATATGATTGAAAAATTAGAGATGAAAAATACTTTTATTATAATATAATATATACTTATTTTAGAGTTGTTATCGACCAAAATTTTGACACGGAAAAAACGATAAAGGAAAAGGAAAGGAGTGAAAAGGAAAAAGAAGCAACACATTCAGAGCATATTACATCTTACAATCAGAGTCTTTATAATAGTTACACAAAACTATGCGCAAGAGTGTGTGACGAATATAAAAATGTGCTGAAAAATGTAGAAAGTAAGTTACATATAAAATAGTTACATATAGTTGCATTATAATTGTATACAATATAATTGTTATACATTATTCGCTCCATTAATAATTCATTAATCGTTGTCACTTATTGTGGTTTTAGGTCCTCTTTCGGTGGCGCAAAGAAAGCTAAAAAAGATTTTAGTTTCTCTTCAAACAGAACATACACAGCATAATGAAACAGTCGAAGAATCGCCAAATTCAAAATCATTCATGTCATCATCTATATCGGGATATCAGGCTTGCACATCCTCTAGGGATATACTGTCATCAACCGCCTTATTTTTGAAGAATCAAAACGCTATGAGCTATCCTTCAAAAAGTAATCAACATAATAAAAAGGGCCTCAATTTCAGCATTGACCGGATATTGTCCATAAATTCGAATTTATGGCGCGACGAAAAATGTTCCGATATCACAAACGTCCATAATAATAATTCTAAATTGCCACTGAAAAAACGATTTTTAACAACTACACCACGTGAAGAGCTGCCAACGCAGCTCGATGACAAAGAAATTATTGTTGACTGTAATATATCGAATAATATATTTCAAAAATATTCAAAAGAAATAGATATATCCGGATCACCTAGCAAAAAGTTTTGTGAGACAGATTTTGTGAACATGTTCCAAAATCTTCCGACGCCTAGCACAGTTAACCGACAACTTTATCGATTAAAAGAACTAGAATCTCGAAATAAACAGCCGAAAAAATCCAGAGAATCTGCTAATCCGTACAATGATGTTTCGAGCAGAGAACACGAAGCTGTTCAATTCCGCAACCGTGTGCGTTCGCAAAATCCTCTTGAAGTTTTGTCTTCAGCGGCTGCATTTATCGAGACTGGACATCTACCGCGGAAAGTAGCTGGAAATTTATCCACGGATAGATACATTCCTACTTCTTCAAATTGGTATGACTTGTTTAACCAGCAGCCTTCACAGTTGTGCTGTTCACAAAATGCTGGCCCTTCCAACCTCAACATAGAACCTGCGAAACAAAGACACTGTACAAGTCAAAACTCAAATTGCTGCGAAGAAAAACATATTTATCACAATTATCCTAATTGCTCGCACGAATATAACATTTCACAAGCACATCAGAATAGCGCAGACACAACAATACGAACAACAGTGACACCCGGATATTCGTATTTGCCGGTGCATTACAGTAGTATCGCAAATAATTACGTTAGTCTACCAACCAACATGGGACACACACGAATATTACCGTTGATACCAAATCATGATACGTACCCACAACAGATTGATGATCATCAACGCATAATATGCTTACAGAATTATATTCAACCTGCAAAATATTTTGCTTTGGATAACGGTACCAATGTCCACAAAATACCACTATATGTAAAAGACAGTATATGTCAATGCCAGGATTGTAAACACAAAAGTATTTGCCTACACTGACCCACAATAGTATTTTGCAATAAACTCGAGAAAAAGAATGCTCGAATGCACATGTTAACTGCGAAATGTCATGGCGCAAAGAATATCGTTGCAAAAAAGCCTGTATGAAATTAATCGCGAATTTTTTTTCAATTTCGTATTTTTATTAATGATATTTTTTGTGTATAAACTCTCTATACTTTATATATACTAATTATTTCTTATCAAATGGGCATTGTGTTATATGTTATGTTGTTCTTAGTAACTTAAAACGTTATTGAAAAAGAAACAATTTTTGCTAACTGTATATTTCACGAATTTAGAGGTCATTATATCATCATTGTGTTGTATTGTGCTGTATATTGTATTGTTTTAACTTGTATCATAAACATACGAATCCAATAACTTAGACAATATTCAAGAAAATAAACACAATTATTCTAATTTTATACTTTTCCTCAATTAAACTTATATAGATACATATATTTTTTTATAGATTAGTACTCACTCGTGCCGCGTTATATTTTGGATAATCTTAGTATCTTCCATTTTTTTTTAAACAAATACTAAATAAATAAAAAATAAATAAATAATTATTTCTCCTAATTATGTTTTTCTATAAAATGTCACCACTAGGATTCGTAAAAATAAAAAATGATATATGATCATACATCATTCGTATTCATTGTGCTCATATTGTATTGCTAATTTTAAATTGTACAACCAATTCTGTTGCAAAGAACAATATTTCGGCGACATTTCATTAAAACAAATTTGTAAACTCTTAAAACATAATCCAACACAACATTAGAGAGAATTAAAAAATATTGAATTTTAATATCACCCTCAATCTCAAGAATTGGTCAACTTTTAAAATATATTTATTATCTTTTTTTTTTTATAAAACTTTAATTTTTTTTTCTATTTTTCAGCATAATATAACACAGTACAACTTGTAGAAATTTAGTAAATTGTAAGATTTATTATTCTATATTTTAAGCATTGTAAGATTTATTATTCTATATTTGTTATATGATTTTTCCTATTAACTACATAAAAAAAGATCGAGATTCTAATGGCATAACGCAACATAAATTAAATACTCTATAGAAAAAAGTGCAGTTAATTTGGAGAAAGTATAATTGTAATTTTGCTTATTTTCTTCAATATTATTTGGATTATTGACCTTTGCGATCAAATCAGCACAATAAGAAAGAACTCAAAATTCTAAATATACAGAGATAGCAAATATTCTTTTTTTTCTGTAATGTGTTTTATGTTACTGAATTAGGATTTATGGCACAAATGCATAACACTGTCGCATAAATAAAAATACACAATTTAGAAAATACGGAGCTAATTTCACACAGATTGCAAACGAATGACTTACTTCTTGACAATGTCGCGATATAGGACGAGCGATCAATATTTATTATAAACCTGTCAAATGTAGGACATTTAGGTTTCATGAAATCGATTCCGTTATATTCGAATATATAATTTAACATATGGTATTGTCAAAGTCGAACATAAGAATGGCTGAATATTTGTAAACAATTTGTGGACATCACTAAGTAAATCACACAACGATAAATGAGCCTCTTGGAAACTTAATACCAAAATACTAAATTAATGCTTAACTTTCCGACATTAAGAAATTTGCGAAGTTAATCATTTTCTAAGAAACTAACAAGAGAATAATAATAATAATATGTAATAATTATTATAATATTATTAGAATTTTTAATCATATAATATAATTTTCGAAAAATAATTCAGATAGAGAAACAAAATATATAAATTTCTCAAACAGTATGACGATAGCAGAGTGCTAATGATATTATCAATGATGTTATTAAAATTTATTATTTGACATACAAGTTTTCTCATGTACTACTTGAAACATTTGTATGTCACTCGTAATAAATTCTCTCGATATAATTTATTTTACAAAAGTAGAGCCTCTAATATAAGAGAGAATATAGTTTTCTAAGTGTCTTATGCCCGATATTCAAAGAGTATATATTTTTTTATTTAATCGTTTATTGTAAATCGTCAATTGTAAAACGTACTTTTCTAGTATTAGGTATTAATATTTTGACGAATAGAGAGAATGTTTGATTTGGTATGGAAAATGAAAGTACAAAACTGCCTGTGATACTTGGTATATGTATGTATTATTATGTTAAATCGATTATGACCGCTAAGTCATAATTCTCAAACATCGAATGTCAAGGTTTAACATAGGAGAAATTCATTTTTGTTACTCTCACAGCGATAGTTAATTGTTACATGTATTTAAGAATCTTTGAATAAGTGTGATTAAGGCTTGTAAATAAATGCCGCAGAACGCAAATATACAACAGCGAATTGCTCTTTCGATAGATCCCTGTGTCACCTAACTCGATAGCTCAGAGCAGGTTCGGTGAAGCGCAATTAATTCATTATTCTAATAATCAATTAATTATTCTCGCAACTTCCACTTTAGTTGAAAGCGTTCGCTCGGTTTTTCTTTCTTTTTTTTTTTTATTATTCAGGCATACTTTTTCCATTAATTCGAAATGAATACTAGAGATATATTGATACAACAACATAGAGCGTGCACAAGGCGAAGGAGACGTCGTCTCGTGACGGTACGCGACACCAGTAGAGCCCGAGATCGATGTAGATGTCTTACTAATTACGTGCGCTCGACGCGTCGACGTCTCCGGAGCGATTGTTTGATTAAACGCGAGTACAATTCTTCATCTTCGTTACATTCTCTCGGGAAGTACTCTAGGAGGAAGTCTCTAGGTACGCGTGCTTGGAGCAGTTTATTCTTCGCCAAAACGACACACGATCGTATTCGTCCCTGAATCGGCGACGGTGAAGAAGCCGCGTTATTTTCACTCTTGGGAATGAAGTAAATAGTTCTCAGTCTTCAAAATTACTTTATTGTACCAAAATAAAGTCGTTAGAGAGTTAGTACGATCTCGCGGAAATCGCTCAATATGAAATCGTAATACATTATCATCATCATCATCATCGTCATCTGCATCATTATCATCATCTGTGTGGTACAGCGGTAAGTACTTATAGAACTGAAATCATCCAAGTCGGATACTCTCGCGCGCCGTGCAGGGCGGCGTTAAAATGTCATAACTCTTACGAACTTTATTTATAACATCCTAAAAGTTCGGACTTAATTTGTACTTTATGTGAGGATATCTTGGTTACAACAGACCTTGCTAACCGATTTTTTTGTTTTTTTTTTAGTGTAGTTAGGACCATGTCGTGTCCCCTCGGAGATTAATTCGAGCGGTCATATTCACTTTTGGGGAAGAGAGAGAGAGAGAGAGAGAGAGAGAGAGAGAGAGAGAGAGAGAGAGAAGATAGGAGAAAAAGGGGAGGTGGGTAGAGCAAGAGATTAGAAAGAGGTAGAAAGAGATACAGGGCGAGGAAGGGTGGGAAGGAGGGAGGGAAAGAGAGAGAAGAGACGGTTCATCTTAACATTCCCCTGAGTTTGATTTCAATATGAACGTCTCTATGCGCCAAACATAGAGCGAAAACAGTTTCCGGAAAATAGATATAATGTAGGAGAAAAGGAATATCGATGAATATATAAAGAAGTAGACGTATCAGACTTGTGATTTTATGTACAACTTGAAGATTCATCGTCAACAAAGTTTAGCGTCCTCTCGCCCATCGTAGTATGGCGTCCGCTAATACGTCCAGATGCGCTTTCGTCTGAAACATATAGAAATAGCACTGTATTCTTGAGACTGGGTATTCGCGAAGGAGAACAAACGAGTGAAACAAGTGTCATTTCTGCACAGGAAGAGAATTTTACAGTAAAAATTACTACTTTTGTAACTAAAAAATAGATCGTTATTTTCTGCAGTAATTTACTATACTTTTATTTTTCCCATGTGCTATTTATATTTTAGGAACTAAAATGTAACTATTAAAGAATTTGCAATGTTTCGAGCGAAATGTACTATGCTCCTTAGCAAGATAGATCTTGCTATTCGTGTACTATTAAAAGAATTTATATGAAAAAAAAACTATAATATATATTCTCTCAGTGTTGGACACGCTCTTTTCTCTTACATGCTGTTTTCTCGACAACTATCAACTTAAATAGCACTCTTTTCTTTATTCTCTAGCATCTAAAATCCTTTTTCTGAAAAACCACTGAAATCATCCAGAACGGATGTGACGGTTGTAAAGTGGATATTCCACTTTAGTCTCAGGGTATACTGTGAATATCTTGAAGAAAAGTAAATAATCCAATACAACAAAACATGCTGAGAATATCATGTAAGATACTTTCAGATTTTTTATAGGATACATTGCAAATATTTCTTGTACGTTTCAACATTCTAAAAGTGAAATAAAAATTACATGAGTTTTGTTACTGCTTAAAGCTTAATCTACAATGTGCTCTTTGCTCCCTGTTTCTCGATTTCTATCTCTTTCTAGCCAAAAACTAATTTTAAATTAGAAAGAAGTAAAGAGAAAGAACAGAAAACAAAAAATACATTGTAAATCTGAGCTAATACTTTTTAACCACAATAACATGTAAAATAAGCCATAAACTTTAGCATGTTAAGTAAAATGTATAATGTTTCTCCTATAATAACTTCAGATTTCACATTTAACGTGCTAAAAAATATATGATTTAATTTTTCAGTATAGAGTGCTTTACTCGACGCTGCTCCTATTTACTTTAAGCAAGCTTATTAATTTATCAGCGAACTGATAGAAACTTCTTTTAGACATTCGTTTTTTTTATTCTTTAGCGTCTAAAATTCTTAAGTTGCAGGTACAAAATTGAACGTGTCTAACTTTAACGCTCTCGTCAAGCTAGGAGACTTTAACAGCAGCGTTAAAAAAAGCTCCGTGTCAAGACGGTAGCGAATTAATGTAGGCAACTGGCAAATAGTTTTCTGAATAAGTGGATGTACTCTCTTTAAAAGCTCCTCTCGCACGTAAATTTCTCGCACGTTAATCGCAATACGGTGAGCGATTGGCTTCTCCAATGTTAGTTCCTTGACGAGATTGTTTGATGCCTCCTAAACTAATTTCTATGTCCATTTCCATATCCACATTCTTCTTTTTCTTTTCTGTTTTATCACAAAACTACGAATTTCAGCTTGAAGAGTTTTTACACAACAACAGCTTGAAGTATCAGGAATATCAAAATGGTGGATATCATCTTGTGTCATCGTGACACTCAATACTAGCCGTTCCCACTAAATTCTCTCCAAAATGTTAGCTATTTCATATTGTTTATTAGCAACGTGTAAGTGGTTTAATAAAGAATCAACTAGAAATTCATTCTAGGAGAGCAAAAAACTGACAATAAAAGAAGCCAGTCGAACAAGCGACACAGTCGAAAGCAGTTCCGTATAGAACACCTTTAAGGTTCCTGGCTAATCGCTGTGACCTTGTTTAATAACATCAGAAGCGAGAATACACATGCTAAGATTTCGTCCGTTATACTTTTAATTGAAAAGATATATCCACAAAATGACATCGGTGATCGATTCAACACACTTGTAAAATTGTCTGAATACTTTACTTTTGCTTGAACAGTCAATAAATAGTCGCAAAATTAACATTGATATAATCTTGATAAAAAAAGATTAAGAAGGAAGATTCCATGTCAAATTAATTTTGCGATTATTTATTAATTGCTCGAGCAAAAGGAAAGTGTTTGGGCAATTTTATAAGTGGCCTGAATCGATCACTAATGTCACTTTGTGGATATATCTTTTTAATTAAAAGTATAACGGATAAAATCTTGGCATGCGTTTTCTCGCTTTTGACGTCATTAAACAAGGACAGCGACTAGGCAGGAGTCTTAACATTATTTTTGCTTAATTATTTTTGTTCAGTTTTGCTTGCGAACTTGGTATAACAGATGTGATCACTCAACCTTGATTGTTTGTACTAGTAAAGCTCAATACTTTTGCCCTACAGTGTTAATATCTGTCTTGGACCAATTACATTGGTTAACAAAACTTGATATTTTCTTTTCTTTATGAATGTCAATAATCATTATCGATATATTATGTCTGCTAGACACGAATTCGTTTTCCAAATTTAACTATTAGGTTACAATTTTGAGAAAAATGGCAACAAAAATGCCAAAAACAACAATTTTAAGTGTTTTCATGACATTTTCATAACTCCGACATAAGCAAATTTTGTTTCTCAATTTTATTAATGCTATGCAAAAATATTAACGTTTAGCTTTAAAATGCTTTAAAATTTGGTTTTGTTTCAGTACGGTTTCTCGAGATATAATTAAAATAAAAACGAAAAATTAGTCGTGCATTAAAATTAATTCGGCATTAATGTCATATACGGCATGATTTTCATGCAATAAGTGTGAAAAAGCATTTCCAAAAGTAGTATTATAACTAAAATATAATATAACATTATTATTATAGCATAATATTTTGTAGCATAATATATATTTGTAGCATAATATATATTTGTAGCATAATATTTTTTAAAGTATAAGTTTTAGTAGATATATTACATAATATATCCTTTATTACGGACCACATAGACTTATTTTCTAAACAAGAGCTAATTAAAAATTTTCATTGTGATATTCGTGTTTAGTATGTTAAAATCACTCAGGATTGGATATTTTCATCGTTGTCCAGTATTATTCATATACTTTAATTTTTTTAATAGGTTGAGCTTATTGGTTTCAATATGCATAATCATAGACAGCACATAACGTTTAAAAATTATCCTAAATGTGTCTAAGGTCCTGAATACATCCAGGATAATTTTATGACGTTTCGTGCTATCTGAGAGCATACATATCATATAACACGTATATCTCAAAGATATTTTTGGGACATGTGTGTTGTGCGAGATGGGACGACTTAACGTGTATTGCATGAAGATCTTTGGCTTTCATAGCTAATCTTTCCCTTCACATACACACACATACACACATATTGCTTGATGAGTAAGTGACGTTGGTCGACAACACGAATAGATTTTTTTATCACAAGAATTACTGCAGTGCATATCACTACTAACGATCTCAAGATCTTAAGAACTCTTTATTATTATTGTTATTATGATTTTATATTTAATTCATGAAGAACAACATTATTCTCCATGTTTTTATTCTATTCTTCGATTGTATGAAAATATAAATATTACTTATTATATATGTGTGTGAGGGAGGAAGTAATCCTTCCTTTTTAACGAACAGAATTCTAATGACCTTACTTTTGACATAAGTTGTCGATAACATTCTGAGACTTTCAGAAGATTTTAACCGTCAACTTTTGTTTATTAGAGGGATATGAACAAAAGAATTTTAAATAAAATAGTTAACGTTAATACTGAAGCTCGTAACTCAGATAGCATAGAACGTCTTATAGATATAGATTTCAAGTACAATTTATGTTCGTATAAATGAGGCTGTAGACATAAATAGGACTCAAATAGAATGTCCTTTTCTGGATATGAACCGAATATTCAAAATAGTACGGTTCGATGTATGTACAAATTGAAATTAGTGATTTCTTTACATTGATGTTTACAAAACATTTGTTTTTCTTTACTGAGATTTCCATTATTTCCATTATTACTGAAAATGTTTCATTAATTTTACAACAAATATTTTTTCATATTTATTTCTATATAATATTTAATATTCATAAAAAAAGAAAATTTTCAATATATTCTGTTATTTAATTTACTATTATTTAATATTAAATAAATATTAAATAAAGTAATAAAATAAATATTAAATAAATATTAAATAAAGTTATGCTTGCCGAGAAATTATTTTTTATATTATAAACTTAATACTTATATATCATTATCAATGGAATACGTCTTAATATTAAATTGTTATATTAAATAGTTATATTATCCAATAAGTATAAGATCCATAAGATTCATTATCCATAAGATTTCCAATAAGTATGCTCATACATAATACGGAACCTACACAAAAAAAAGTTTCTCTAAATTAAAATTCCTATTTAATTTTTTTTATTTGTATCATTAAACATATTCTTACATTATATCAATATTCGTTGCATATCGATTGTTGCTATATTATTTTCAATATCTATCAGTAAATATATTATTAGAATGTTTCACAGTATCCTCATAGTCTCAAAGATGTCGTTAGAGTCATTGGGATAACTACCTGCTACATGATCTTCTCAAAGTCAAACAATAAACGCATCTAGAAAGTGATCCAGTCGCCGCTCGGAATCAAAACCACGAAGAGAAACAAACATACCTCTTAGTAACGTCAACATAAACTTTGTTTTACAATAGCAACCACTCATATTTAATCGTCGACCAGACCTCCATAGGATCTTCCTTAAGTCAAAAATGGATATCCATTATTAAAAAATAGAGGTACTATGGACATCTAAGTATATGGCATAACCCAGTAAGCAAAAAATCATTGATAGGAATTATTGCAAAAAGATATTCGGTGACGAATATGATGTTTCCCAATATGTAGTTTTCAACGTTGCATCAATATTATTATTAATAATTTAATATTTCTAAAATATTTTCGCAATATTCAAGGAGAGATTATATTATCCGACAATATCTTTGCAATATTTTTAAAATATTAAGCAGAAACGTTCAAGAGATACATGTAAAATCGATATATTTCAAGATGTTGATCTAATGTTCTTTGTTTACTGGATAAAAGCAGCATACATGTGGGTGAGTGAATTTTGTTGATGCAGTAGATCGCATTCATATGTAAAACATCGAGCGTCTGTGGCGTTATGTGCGTGGTTCGATACCCCAATTCAGAGGAAAAAGATATTCCTATGAAGGATATATTGCTGAATTTTTGTTCAAGCAGAAACATATTCATTTAATGAATATATTGAAATTTTGTCTTTTAATATAATAAGATGAAATAAACTAGTAAGCCCTAATAAACAAAGAACATTTGATCAATATCTTGAAATGTTAATTTTGTTAATTTCTTGAACGTTTTCATTTAATATTTTAAAGGTATTTCAATAATATTATTGAATAATAATGATCCTTTTGAACATTGTAAAAATATTATAAATTTTAAAGTGTCGAAGTCACTCGTAATGATATTGATATATATTATTAAAAACTGTATATTAAAAAAAACGTTATAAGCGAATGAATATCGTTACAATAACATTGCATCAGTAATTTTTTACTTGCAATGGGTAATAATCTCTTGGAAATATAAATTATATTTATCACAAATATAGTAATTATATTTATCAAAAATATAACACTTTTTAATCAACAACAAACGACGGCTATAATCGTTAAAAGTTTACTTAAGATTTCTAATTATTGATGCTTAAAAAAATGTTTCTCCTTACCAAGTTGATGAATTTATCATATATATATTAAAATAATATATTTAATAGATCCTCTAAAAAGATTAAGCACAATTCTCCCAAAGGTTGTGCAAAGTTCGAGTTTAGTTTGAGCAATAAAATATATAAGAAAATATTTCAATGTGATAATTATTTTGTTTAAATATATATATATATATATATATATAAGCCTTTTGTTTATTTTTTAGATCATCTGTTATTTTAATTAAAATAGACTCATCATTAATTTAGTAAAGTGAAAGATTTAAAGCGAATGTATTTACAAATATAAATAGTCTCCTAAATATTTATCTGAAAAATAACATTTATATCATATTTAGAACGTCGTTATTATTTTCAACTTTTAATTATTAATAACTTTTTAGTAAACAAAGACTATGATTAAAGCCGTCTTGAGATTATACCGGAGGATGTTCTGAATAATATGTGTCAAGATGAAGGAATTGCGCCCATTAAAACGAATAATTATTCGATTAATTAATTTAAATTTATATAATGCAATGTTCCTCAACGTGAAAAGTGGATAATTTTTAAGAGTCCAGAAATATCAAGTGTTATAAAAAATATTGGAGCGATTAATCAAACTTCTCAGGAGTTTCAATAAAAGGTTAATTAAAGTTTTGTTCTTCAATATTAATAGATACAGTTCCATCAATATAAAATAAATATTATAATATTATTATATTATAATATCACAAATATATTAAAAATAAATAATAAAAAATAGCTAAATATATTAAAAGTATCTTAGAATATATTTTGAACGTATATTAAGGATTATCTTGAAAATATCTTGTGTGCTACCTAGGAATTAATAATCGTGTAATATAAGAGATACTTCGTGAGGTGGCCAGTGCTCCAGCTTGAATAGCATATAATATACAATGTTAATATTTTTTCATGTGAACCAAAGTCGAGTATAAAAAAGAACTCGCTTAACTATATTTCATAAATCGAATTTCACCATCTGACGTGGTTGAGTTTTACGAAGTTTGCTTTACAATGAGAAGAGACTACAAGTTGTTAATAAGATTTATTCTCTTGCTTTTCTTTTTAGAATTTGCTTGAGGTTTAGTAAAGAATATAATTCCGTTATCCGTGTGTTTACCCTTTTTTAAGACTTACTAACTTGCGGTAAGTCCATTATCTTCCATTTAAACCTTTCGGTGATGAATGGATGGATGTGTTTGCGCGAAGTATTTTATTATCTGTGATGCGCCTTAAAAAATTTCATATACACTTAGAAGATTTTATGTATCTTTTATTTTATTTGCTTATTATGCATTCTAGGTTAGGAGTTTTGCCTCTATTTAAGTTCAGGAAGCTGTTATACCAATTAAAGTCGCAGAAATTGGGACACCCTGTATATGCCAACGTGAATAGTCACAATCATGATATATATAGTTAGTAGGTAAAAGATTGCAATTTTTATCTCAATGAATTTTATAATTCGTTCCGTATCCAATAGGAGAATTTATTTTATTCTCAGAAAATACACTTTCTTATTAGATATCGCATGTGTTCCGAAGTCATCAAAATAATAGTTTAACTTTTCTTTCATTGCCTAGACACAATAAGTGTGTTCAAAAAATCTTGGCAACCCTAGCCTAAAAAAATGTTAAAGTATTTATCTGATCTAATATATTAAAGGGGATATTCAATCTAAGAAATCAAGTATTAATATAAGTATTAACCTTTTATTTTCAATAATTTCCAATTTACAAAAAGTTAAAAACAGCCAAATTGCAAAAAATTAAAAAATGTTAAAAGCAGAAAATTAAAAACAATTTTTGTTAGAAGAGTTTCTTTAAGACTACACTTTACCAACATTTATGTTAAACAAGTTGTCTTTTCACTTAGCAATGTTGAATATAGCATGTTGAGGTTTGAGTCTCTGCTATATGGTTAGAATCTCGGTTAAACAGAAACAGAATCTTAATCAAATAATGTTTTGCAATTGAACTCGTTATTTTCACCCGTTTCAAAATTTTCCCTACGAATCGTCACTGTTTCAATCAAAATCAAAATCGTATATTTCAATAAGAAAGTTTCAAACGCCTTTTTAATTTCAATGACTCAAGAATAAGTCGGATCTTCTTATTTTTAAATAACCCGATCCAATGACTAGTCAAACAAATTATTATTTTTACAATTTGCGACTCAACATCTAGGCAGGGAAAACAATAGTTCTAAAAATATTTTTTCTTTATTTTTTAAGTTATACAATGCACTAATTAGTCAAATGCTCTTATTTTCAAGTTATACTCAATAACAAGATAAAATAACTTTTTACTTACATGATTCATTGAAAATTGAGAAGCATTTTTATATCAAACATAAAAATTAAAGAATTGATTTTCTCGATTATGAAAAATAAACCAAATTTAATAGGCTGTAATTTCCGTAAAAATATGAAAATAACAAAATGATTTTAAAAATATTTTATAACAAACTTTGCAATTTATTTGATATATATATATATATATATATATATATATATATATATATATATATATATATCAAATAAATTGCAAAGTTTGTTATAAAATATTTTTAATACTTAATAAATAATACTAGGAAGTATTACTAGTAGGTAATAATACTAGTAAATAATACTAGAATACTAGGAATAATACTTAATAATTAATACTAGGAAGTTGCCGTCATAACTATAACAAAAAAAAGCCATAAAATAAAATAAAAATAGGTAAGATTAAAATATAATAAATAATTAATATAAATAAATATATATATATATATAGCTCATTACGTTGCTATTATTTTTTATCAAATATTTTCAATTAAATAATAGGAAAAAGGGCTAATTCGAATTCAAGCACAGGATTAATAGTGCTATGTACCATATGGGTAAAACCTTCCTTGTGTTAAGAAATAGAGCAATATTTATTGAACATGAATACTCAATATAAATAATCAGTTTCGGCTCAATCATGAACCCTCTTCAGTGATATAAGGTTTATAAAACGAACGCATTACAAGTAAAAGAATTAATTAAAGACGTTAATAAAATGATATGAATGTTATTCATAGTATTATAGCTAACAAGACCGTTATCCAACTAATATTAAGAAGTTCAAATTAATACTAGGAAGTTGCCGTCATAACTATAACAAAAAAAAGCCATAAAATAAAATAAAAATAGGTAAGATTAAAATATAATAAATAATTAAAACGGAACGGATAAATATTTCTCTATTTCCTAACACAAGGAAGGTTTTACTCATATGGTACATAGCACTATTAATCCTGTGCTTGAATTCGAATTAGCCCTTTTTCCTATTATTTAATTGAAAATATTTGATAAAAAATAATAGCAACGTAATGAGCTATATATATATATATATTTATTTATATTAATTATTTATTATATTTTAATCTTACCTATTTTTATTTTATTTTATGGCTTTTTTTTGTTATAGTTATGACGGCAACTTCCTAGTATTAATTATTAAGTATTATTCCTAGTATTCTAGTATTATTTACTAGTATTATTACCTACTAGTAATACTTCCTAGTATTATTTATTAAGTATTAAAAATATTTTATAACAAACTTTGCAATTTATTTGATATATATATATATATATATATATATATATATATATATATATATATATA